TCATTCAGACATCGCTCAGCTATCATTCAGACATCGCACAGCTATCATTCAGACATCTCACAGCTATCATTCAGACATCTCACAGCTATCATTCAGACATCGCACAGCTATCATTCAGACATCACACAGCTATCATTCAGACATCTCTACAGTTATCATTCAGACATCACACAGCTATCATTCAGACATCACAGCTATCATTCAGACATCTCACAGCTATCATTCAGACATCTCACAGCTATCATTCAGGCATCACACAGCTATCATTCAGACATCGCACAGCTATCATTCAGACATCACACAGCTATCATTCAGACATCACACAGCTATCATTCAGACATCTCACAGCTATCATTCAGACATCGCACAGCTATCATTCAGACATCTCACAGCTATCATTCAGACATCACACAGCTATCATTCAGACATCACAGAGCTGTCCTACAGACATATGCACAGCTATCATTCAGACAATGCACAGCTATCATTCAGACATCGCACAGCTATCATTCAGACATCACACGGCAATCATTCAGACATCGCACAGCTATCATTCAGACATCGCACAGCTATCATTCAGACATCACACAGGTATCATTTAGATATCTCACAGCTATCATTCAGGCATCACACAGCTATCATTCAGACATCGCACAGCTATCATTCAGACATCACACAGCTATCATTCAGACATCACACAGCTATCATTCAGACATCTCACAGCTATCATTCAGACATCGCACAGCTATCATTCAGACATCTCACAGCTATCATTCAGACATCACACAGCTATCATTCAGACATCACAGAGCTGTCCTACAGACAATGCACAGCTATCATTCAGACAATGCACAGCTATCATTCAGACATCACACAGCTATCATTCAGACATCACACAGCTATCATTCAGACATCATACAGCTATCATTCAGACATTACAGAGCTGTCCTACAGACAAGGCACAGCTATCATTCAGACATCATCACACAGCTATCATTCAGGACATCACACGGCTATCATTCAGACATCACAGAGCTGTCCTACAGACAATGCACAGCTATCATTCAGACATCTCACAGCTATCATTCAGACATCACACAGCTATCATTCAGACATCGCACAGCTATCATTCAGACATCACACAGCTATCATTCAGACATCACACAGCTATCATTCAGACATCACAGGCTGTCCTACAGACAATGCACAGCTATCATTCAGACATCTCACAGCTATCATTCAGACATCACACAGCTATCATTCAGACATCGCACAGCTATCATTCAGACATCACACGGCTATCATTCAGACATCGCACAGCTATCATTCAGACATCGCACAGCTATCATTCAGACATCACACGGCAATCATTCAGACATCGCACAGCTATCATTCAGACATCACACAACTATCATTCAGACATCGCACAGCTATCATTCAGACATCACAGAGCTGTCCTACAGACAATGCACAGCTATCATTCAGACATCACAGCTATCATTCAGGACATCACACAGGCTATCATTCAGACATCACAGAGCTGTCCTACAGACAATGCACAGCTATCATTCAGACAATGCACAGCTATCATTCAGACATCACACGGCTATCATTCAGACATCGCACAGCTATCATTCAGACATCACACGGCTATCATTCAGACATCACACAGCTATCATTCAGACATCACAGAGCTGTCCTACAGACAATGCACAGCTATCATTCAGACATCTCACAGCTATCATTCAGACATCACACAGCTATCATTCAGACATCGCACAGCTATCATTCAGACATCGCACAGCTATCATTCAGACATCTCACAGCTATCATTCAGACATCTCACAGCTATCATTCAGACATCGCACAGCTATCATTCAGACATCACACAGCTATCATTCAGACATCTCACAGTTATCATTCAGACATCACACAGCTATCATTCAGACATCACACAGCTATCATTCAGACATCTCACAGCTATCATTCAGACATCTCACAGCTATCATTCAGGCATCACACAGCTATCATTCAGACATCGCACAGCTATCATTCAGACATCACACAGCTATCATTCAGACATCACACAGCTATCATTCAGACATCTCACAGCTATCATTCAGACATCGCACAGCTATCATTCAGACATCTCACAGCTATCATTCAGACATCACACAGCTATCATTCAGACATCACAGAGCTGTCCTACAGACAATGCACAGCTATCATTCAGACAATGCACAGCTATCATTCAGACATCGCACACAGCTATCATTCAGACATCACACGGCAATCATTCAGACATCGCACAGCTATCATTCAGACATCAGACATCTCACAGCTATCATTCAGGCATCACACAGGCTATCATTCAGACATCGCACAGCTATCATTCAGACATCACACAGCTATCATTCAGACATCACACAGCTATCATTCAGACATCTCACAGCTATCATTCAGACATCGCACAGCTATCATTCAGACATCTCACAGCTATCATTCAGACATCACACAGCTATCATTCAGACATCACAGAGCTGTCCTACAGACAATGCACAGCTATCATTCAGACAATGCACAGCTATCATTCAGACATCGCACAGCTATCATTCAGACATCACACGTCAATCATTCAGACATCGCACAGCTATCATTCAGACATCACACAACTATCATTCAGACATCGCACAGCTATCATTCAGACATCGCACAGCTATCATTCAGACATCACACAGCTATCATTCAGACATCGCACAGCTATCATTCAGACATCGCACAGCTATCATTCAGACATCTCACAGCTATCATTCAGACATCTCACAGCTATCATTCAGACATCGCACAGCTATCATTCAGACATCACACAGCTATCATTCAGACATCACACAGCTATCATTCAGACATCACACAGCTATCATTCAGACATCTCACAGCTATCATTCAGACATCTCACAGCTATCATTCAGACATCTCACAGCTATCATTAAGGCATCACACAGCTATCATTCAGACATCGCACAGCTATCATTCAGACATCACACAGCTATCATTCAGACATCACACAGCTATCATTCAGACATCTCACAGCTATCATTCAGACATCGCACAGCTATCATTCAGACATCTCACAGCTATCATTCAGACATCACACAGCTATCATTCAGACATCACAGAGCTGTCCTACAGACAATGCACAGCTATCATTCAGACAATGCACAGCTATCATTCAGACATCGCACAGCTATCATTCAGACATCACACAGCTATCATTCAGACATCATACAGCTATCATTCAGACATCACAGAGCTGTCCTACAGACAAGGCACAGCTATCATTCAGACATCACACAGCTATCATTCAGACATCACACAGCTATCATTCAGACATCACAGAGCTGTCATACAGACAATGCACAGCTATCATTCAGACATCTCACAGCTATCATTCAGACATCACACAGCTATCATTCAGACATCACACAGCTATCATTCAGACATCACACGGCTATCATTCAGACATCACACAGCTATCATTCAGACATCGCACAGCTATCATTCAGACATCACACGGCTATCATTCAGACATCACAGAGCTGTCCTACAGACAATGCACAGCTATCATTCAGACATCTCACAGCTATCATTCAGACATCACACAGCTATCATTCAGACATCGCACAGCTATCATTCAGACATTGCACAGCTATCATTCAGACATCGCACAGCTATCATTCAGACATCACACAGCTATCATTCAGACATCACAGAGCTGTCCTACAGACAATGCACAGCTATCATTCAGACAATGCACAGCTATCATTCAGACATCACACAGCTATCATTCAGACATCACACAGCTATCATTCAGACATCACAGAGCTGTCCTACAGACAATGCACAGCTATCATTCAGACAATGCACAGCTATCATTCAGACATCACACAGCTATCATTCAGACATCACAGAGCTGTCCTACAGACAATGCACAGCTATCATTCAGACAATGCACAGCTATCATTCAGACATCACACGGCTATCATTCAGACATCGCACAGCTATCATTCAGACATCACACAGCTATCATTCAGACATCACACAGCTATCATTCAGACATCACAGTGCTGTCCTACAGACAATGCACAGCTATCATTCAGACATCTCACAGCTATCATTCAGACATCACACAGCTATCATTCAGACATCGCACAGCTATCATTCAGACATCGCACAGCTATCATTCAGACATCTCACAGCTATCATTCAGACATCTCACAGCTATCATTCAGACATCGCAGAGCTATCATTCAGACATCACACAGCTATCATTCAGACATCTCACAGTTATCATTCAGACATCACACAGCTATCATTCAGACATCACACAGCTATCATTCAGACATCTCACAGCTATCATTCAGACATCTCACAGCTATCATTCAGGCATCACACAGCTATCATTCAGACATCGCACAGCTATCATTCAGACATCACACAGCTATCATTCAGACATCACACAGCTATCATTCAGACATCTCACAGCTATCATTCAGACATCGCACAGCTATCATTCAGACATCTCACAGCTATCATTCAGACATCACACAGCTATCATTCAGACATCACAGAGCTGTCCTACAGACAATGCACAGCTATCATTCAGACAATGCACAGCTATCATTCAGACATCACTCAGCTATCATTCAGACATCACACAGCTATCATTCAGACATCATACAGCTATCATTCAGACATCACAGAGCTGTCCTACAGACAAGGCACAGCTATCATTCAGACATCACACAGCTATCATTCAGACATCACACAGCTATCATTCAGACATCGCACAGACCACCGCAATACAATACAACGACAACCCAACAAAAATGGAAACATTTTGGAACCAAGCAAACTCATTACAATAGTCAAGTTTGATCTGAATGTTTCCTTTAATCTGCCATTCCCTCAGCTTTCTTTATTCTGATGTCCTCTTCATTCAGGACCCCTTTACACTGGGCAGCAGCCACTGGACAGACCGACTGTGTTAAGACACTTCTGTCACTGAATGTGTCCCCCAACCCAGTAGACGCCGAGGGAGGGACTCCCCTAGAGTACGCCAGGCAGTCAAGTCACACAGGTATGTTGGAACCGTTTGGTCACTTGTGGTTTTGCCGAGCAAATGTTTAAAATGATCACATATCATGTTGCATAAGAAGCATCCCAACCTTTACTTTATAAAATTTGTGGCAATTGAGTTCTCGATCAGTTTATACTAACAGAAATAGATTTGAAACAATTGTGTATATTTCTAAACGCCGTGACTGACAAGATTTCAGCTATATCAGGCCGTCCTGTACGTGTTCGAGTTTGGCTAGCCAGTAACGGAAGGCATTACTTGCGATCTACGCCCTGTCACAAGTCCCCGACTACCCTATCACCCTTAAGTCTTCTGTGTCGATAAGCATGACGTGGTGAATCACAACAAATACGGGTTAGAAATGGCCTCCAACAGTCCTGCTTGTCACGAGAGGCAACTATCAGATCAGGTGGTCAGGATGACTGACTTTGTTATTGCATGTCATCCTATATTAATCGGGAATATTGTCGGGTCCAGATTCGATTATGTACAGACAGCCGTCACATGGCTGGCATATTATATTCAGTATGGGCTAACAACAAACAAACCTAACGTTACTTTCCTTGTAGAGTGTGAGAACCTACTAGTCAAGAAGCTCGGACGGAGGTTCAGCAGAAATAATTCCAAAGAAAACCAAACTTCAGGAGTCAAGGGAGGAGGAGGAAGGTTCGGTTTCATCAAGAACCTCTTCGGGAAGAAAAACACCAACAGTTCCAATGTGACGTCAAACAAAGGGGGCAGTCAGAATAATACCTCCCCTGGTGAAGCGAATGGCACTACTACAGTAAACAACCCTACAGTGCCTTCCGAACAACCCAACCATTCTGTTGATACTGCTCCTGTTGCTGTGCCTACAATCTGTGTGCATGAACCTACTGACAATAAGCCTAAGCGAGGCAAGAAGCGAAATTCAAAGAAGTCGAAGCGCAATTTGATGTCGGAGTCTGCTGATCACAACCTGTCGTCAGAGAATATTGCTGACACACCTACGCCCTCGGGCGGCAAGGGAGGTAACTCAGAATATCGTGACGAGACGAGGAGGCGATCAGTATCACCACGACCTCTTTCTCCTTTGAATGGAGTGAGCATGTCACTACCTTCAGACTCAGAGCTCGACCACTCAGTACCGGTGAGTCATAGAAATCTTCAATTAGTTTCGGTTGTTGCAATTCCAATGGTTTGTTTTCTCTTTTTGGGACATAGTTGTTGAATAACCTGCAAACAATCATAGGCGGTTGTCTTCCTTAACAGCACTTGATATTACAACTGTTGAGGAAGCAGCATCATTAGGGTTGATGTGGTTCAGTGGGTACGATACGAGCGGTACAAAATGAAATTTGGGACGCACTTGAGCTACAAATACAGAGTGACACTACTGAACGAATTTGTCTTGCCGACATTTTTCAGTTAAACATTGTAAAAAATGTTCACCTAATTGAAACGTGACAGAAACCAAAACGTTTTGGTTTTTTAATTCAGAGGGGTACATACATAGTAGCGGTATAATTTGCACTTTACCTTACCATATTATGTTAACTAACCTTATCATCATCCCCAGCCTCCCCGCGTCCCCCGTCGGTCTCACAGCTTGCAGCCCCTACCAGACAGGCCCACCCTCAAGCTCCCTGAGGGACCTTCCCCATCCACCTCGCCTTCCGTCTCACCAAGGCTCCTTGGGTCTTTGGAGAACATGGAATCTCCTGTATCTCCCCGGGGCGGAAGTCTTGGACCCCTAAGGGGACACAAACCCAGGCCAGGTAGGTTAATACGCCGTTACATGCAGCAGTCACAGAGATTCGGTACCCTGAAACAACATGGTGACGGTAACAGTGACGTGGTTGTATTCATTGTGTACACAAGTTAGTTAACATTGCCTCTAACGTTAGGAAATTATATCGATTGGGTGGTACTGGAGGTGGAGACTTTCCCTTATGATGAAACCCTACTTGAAGGGCTAACTGTAGGATAGACATTCGAGACATACGGAGGTCAGGCTCGCTGACTTGGTTGACACATGTAATCGTATCCCAATTGTCTGGTCAAGACTCGATTATTTACAGACCACCGCCGTATAGCTGGAGTATTGCAGATTGCGGTGTAAAAATAAACTCACTCACTCATTGGGTCACGTGTAGCCCAGCAATCTGAGGCACTGCATTTCGCTGTGCAGAGTTGTGTTCCTTGAGCACGGCAGGAAACGTATGCGCATGGAATCGAATTCCGACTGGTTCTGAATATGTTTCTAAGTTTGTCAGCAAAAAAACCGTGTTTGTTTCACCAAGCGATGAACATCCGAGACCTGCATAACTTATGACCTTCTTACATGACCAAGCGAACCTGCCGTGATTAAACTGAAACACTGTTCAAAGCGTCTCTGAACCCAACTCACTCACTCACTCACTCACTCACTCACTCACTCAGGAGCCTTATTGTAGCGTTGCCTTTGCTGATGTACTTTTCGTGATATTTATATTATACTTTTCATGATATTAATATTATACTTTTCATGATATTTATATTTTACTTTTCATGATACTTTATCAGACATTCTCGTTAACTCTCGTGTGGCGTCTCTCCAGAAAGAGAGAACAGGGGCGAATAGGACACCCACACCGCCACCATCCGATGTAGATTCAAAGTGAGTTATAGTTATACTGTTGTATTCAGAGTACATAAGCTTGATAACACGTCTATACTTAATGATTGCCACAATGTTTGGTTCCAAACACAAACACATACATGGATACACATACATAATTTGAATATTGTCAGTCTGCATAGTTGACAGTCAGTACATAGCAACGGCAATACAGTCTGAAGGACCACACTTCTATGCCCGCAGAAGACTCTTCACTAATGGAAGGTTTGGGTATGAACGTATTCGATGTTTATGAGAGCATTAAATTTCCAAGTATTCCGATTCCAGTTTTCTCAGACGCCAAAAGCAGGGCCAGCAAATCTCCAAATGTGCATCATTCATCCATCGTAGACATACGTCTGTATAGTTATAATAGCTTGACTTATATTCAACATGCAGGTGAAGGTGGTTGCAGTCTTAAAATGTTTATGCTAAAATATACGTTCTCATACGTTAATACGTTATATTCATGCAGACCATCCTAACTTTTTATTTGTTTTCTGTCGTCAGAATACTGAACATAAACCCAAGCATGAGCCCACGGATGCCAGACCAAGCAATCCTCACGCCCGGGCGTCACCGGAAACCGAAAAGAAGGAGCAGCTTGGCAGCACCGGAAACGGAATTTGAACTTAACTGTTTCCCCACCGGACGTATGCTGGACAGTCAAGATACAAGGTTGGAAAAGCGAGGCTCAGTATCACCATTGGCAACAAGGGAGACAACTTCTGCTCGCAGACGGCCTTCAGAAGGGTCCTTGTACAGTTGAAACAAAGAGAAGAAGGCCCCAGGAAGGGCCGGATGTTCACGTATGCAGGACGATACCACGTATAACTGGTGTTGTATGAGACATTCATGTATACGTTCAAGTGCAGGTGACAAATGTGTAAGCCTGCCTCAATTTCTCGAGGCTCGAATCTGAACAATAGTATGCTTGTTTCACCAGGTAAGCTTACGAATTGTGACCAACATGTGTTGGATATACTCATGGTTCGACTACATGGCCCTTGTTCTTTCAGTAGTGGGTATATAGGAGATTGTTATCGACTTATATTTTGATCAGCAAATTATGGAAATTACACAAGCAAAAGTATTTAAAAATTAACTGCTGTTTTTCATCAAATTAAAAAAAAGATGTAATTAAATTATAATTTTTGTACCTGGTGCGGTGAATAATATTGGATGTATTTGGGTATGAGAAGACATTATTTGATTAAAAAACATATACCAATAGTAATGTACTTTCTGCTTTTGGTAAGGGCCGATTATAATGGGGATTGTTGGTTTTTATTGAAATGGGGTCACGATCTGCAGAATGTGTGTCATCGTTCCAGATCATTCAGATCGTTGCTCTTGTTTAGCTACTGGTTGCCTGATCCAGACCTGATTATTGTCAGTAATAACGACTGTGGGGCTTTAGATCATTCAATTGAAATATTATTGCTTCGTATTCCTGCTCCTGTGAGACGTTATTTATTCGCATGTGAATGTTCTGATGGGATACATAAAGAAACAAATCACACAAAGATATTTTTACTTGGTTCATTAAAAATGTCATCAAAACATCATGTTGACATCCTAAAGGATGCGGTGTGTCGTCAGGAAAGAGGAAAGGGGATGTATGGATGGAGAAAGTAATGGTCCTATACTAGTGCTTCAAGTGATATTGTTTCAGTATTACTAAACGGTGGCGTATTATCATACTCACTCACCCACTCCCTCGTATCATTTTAAAGATGTGTTTTCTTCATACCTGTCCCAGTTTGGTTTCAATTTGATATATGTGTTTGGTATATTTGCTTAAACCTGTTTATATCTCTGGATCTGACCATTCAGGTGATCACAGGCGTACACCGTGTCATAGACCAATGTACTGTTGAAATACAAACTCTTGATAGCTGCTTGAAGTGTTAATATTGCCATCATCTCCTAATGTTACTCAATTGCCGTCAAGGGTGTCACATTGTCTTTATTGCATATTGAGACGGCATAAAGGTCACAAATATGTATTTTTTAATTCAAATGATTTGCTCACATTTGATCAATTGGTTTTGTGATCATGAATGTTTGTGATGCAAGGTGGATAAAGGGGAATATAGTATTTATGTGTTGTTACCTAGTCACCGTTATATCTTAATGCTTTTGTACAGTTTGAGTTGTGACGAGTCATAGATGCCGATTATACACATGACACTGCCAATTATATATTCATAATCAAAGAAGCCTGTAACTAGCCTGATTTGAAATGGATTTTCTGAAATTGGCTACTGGCAAAATAGAACAAAGATGCTTGTCCGATCCATGATCCATGAACTCGGGACGTATTCAAGGCATACCAGAAGACGTCTTGTTCAAGATCAGAATACAATGTAATGAAGACGTCATGTCTCTTTCTCTACACTACAGTTTTCCATCTGAAGATCTCCCCAACACACCGCATGTGATCGCTGCACGTCCTTATTGTGATTCACATGGGGAATTTGGGGGGAGTGTTCTTGAAGACACTGGTGTGTTGATATCATGGGAGATTTCACTGGTTTTTGGCTTAACATGGCGATGAAATGTTTAATGTAAGTCACCTCAGAACAGACTAACTGCAACTTTGTTTGCATCAAATTACAAGCATACAATCAGAAAAGTTTAGTTTCAGATCTGGAAATAGACTATCATCTGTGTATATGTTTTGTCCCATAATAGACTAAGGATTTATCGATCCATCTTCATCTAACATGTGCTATACAAAGTATTACAGGGTTTTATGGCAGAAACGTGACGTGTGTTATAATATGTTATTTGCTTTTCCTTAAATAACCATATGACCACATTCCTGTTTGAACATATCAGTATTGCACCAGGCACAAGATTCTGTAACGTATTTGAAAGGTGGTATTTGGACTATTATGTACTAAACTTTTATCGTGGGGGCATGAACCTTTATCGTGGGGGGCATGACTATTTTGGGGACTGTTTTACTGAAATTCCTGCTTTGTCTTCACTACAACAAAAAATACCCCATATAAATAAGGTTCGTAACTGTGTTCGCAAAGTACAAATCAAGAACATGAAATATAATTAACATAAGATTACATGTAAATTTGAGAAATTTCTTTGTTTAATTATTGTTGAGATATTTCAGATTCGAATTTCAATTTTGACTCTTCCAGTACTCACAGTTTAAAGATACCTATTGTTCTTCAGACAATTTTGCCTACATAATAGTCTGGATATGGTTTTGCCAATGACCAGAGAGTCAATGTTTGTGAGTAGTAATGCATCGACACGATTATTTGTGTTATTCATACGTGATCTTGCGTCAGCCTGATGGCCACTTAGATTGCAGGCACACACCTGAACTATGACAGACCTTTCTTTGGGTTGATATTTTAGACTAAGCATACCTGTTACTGCTGGACTGCTTTCTGTTACAGGAAATAGAAATGTCCACCTTCTTACCAATGACAATATTCTTGATAAATAAAACATTTATTCAATATATGAATTTTGTTATCGATGACATGATGACATCCAAACAATTTTTAACGAAGCTGCAACTGTATGGCAGGTATATCAAGAAAGGTAACGGAGGAACCTAAGAGGTGGCACACAAACCGTCATGATAACATCCTGAAGGAAGTGATGCGTCTTCAGGGCATGGGGGAGCGGTGTACTATGGACGGGGAAAGGATGGGGTTCCAGCACTGTTTGAGTATTACTTAAAGCTGGCGTATCACGCTGTTCAAACCTTTGCATCATTTCATTGAAATAATGCCTTTATATCTAGCCTTATTGGTTTAATTGCAAACGTATTTGGCAGGTATATTAAGACAGGTACCGGGGGAAAACACCTATATTCTACACAGGCAAACCAAACCCATATATTTACTATTTTCTGTTGAAGAAAATTGCCATAGGCATTATGTTTCTTCCATCATCTCTAATTGCCATTGGCATGAATACATTGATGCAAATCGTTTCTCTTTTGAATAGCAAGAGATACCCATAATGGAGAGACTATATGGATGCCTGATTCTGTACAAACAGGAACACTTCGTGTTGGAGAATATGCTTCCCCCATTTATCACGTGAATCCACCTGTTGTTTTCCTCATTATACACAAGTTTTCCATAATCTATATCCCTTAAATACATTCATCTGTTTTAGAAATTTTTCGTCTCCAACTTATAATTCCATTTGATGAATATTCATGTTTCATTCCGTATGGTGGGGAAATGTTTTGTTTGTGGTATTGTCGTGAGCTCTAACTTTATCAAGCATATTCCACTTGAGTTCAATGCACTTGTTTCAACTCGTCTGTCTTTGGTAGTCTTGCCAAATCGTTTTAATACATATCAGTAAATGTAAGGTGTAAATGGGCCTAGTTGCCCGAACACTATTAACCTGTTTGTGCTCAATCAATGAATCGTCCCCATATATCAAGAATTTTGCGGCTTAGCAAAACACCTTTGTGAAAAAAGAGCGCTAAAGACCCACAAATAACGGTTTCTGTGGAACCATACCAGAATACGTATCGTATGGAAACGGTAATTGGGCCATAGTTACAATAATAAAACCTGCTAATTCCCATTAAACTGACGCAAGAAAAGAAGCATTTATCTTTATTTTCTCCAAAGCAA